TAGGTTTTCTGGAGCCTTCTCTGCCTTACACCCTAGCTGGTACCCTTTCCAGATTTTCAGCCTGCCCCCTTCTGAGTTTTGACTCCCACCCAAATGGACAATATTTCCTTCCCACCCAAGATCTGGAGACTCCACCCAGTTAAGTTCACCGAATTTGTCACAGCAGCTCAACTTACAGAGCTCACTGCTATGAGGACAAGTAAATTCTAGTCTGTACAGAAATATCTAACGTGGGTCAGTGACTTGGGTTTATTTCAGAGGCCTTGTGATAAGGTATGCTAGGATCCAAGGTGTAGTGGTTAAGCTGTTAGACTAAGAACAGAGTTACCCAGTTCAAATCCAGTGTTATCCATGAAAATTCTCTGAGTGATTTAGGGCCAGTGCCTTTCTCTAAGCCCAACCTACCCCTTGTTGTGGGCATAAAATGAAAAGAAATTTCCATGTGAGCTGCCTTCAACTCCTGGAGAAAAGGTGGGAGGTCAGTAATATAAAGAAATTAATACATGTCCAAACTATGTTAGATACCTGTTAGATCCAGTAAGGAACAGCACATTCCTTTGATGTCCTGAAGTATCTAAGACCAACCATTGCTAAGCCTATCTACTGTATACATATATGAATTGCAGAATCAATTCTGGATGTAGCCATTTGCTCCCAAGCTGGGCATTATAATCTGGATTCACTTTGCATGCTGATCTCTCTCTTACACTCTCTCTCTTTATACACTATTGGAATAGAAAGACCTAAAGGATCAGGTTGGGCCAGGTCCTCCTGGAGAAAATCTATCGGTATGGTCACTAAGAGCTGAAAATGACTTGATAGCACACAATCAAAATCAATCAATCTTTACACGCCTATCTAGAAAGCAACATTGCTGTCTATGTGCCTGCTATTTGGAACCCTTGGGCTGTAGGTAATATCAGTTTCCAGGATTGATTAATCTGCCTTTGTTCATCTTCTTTTTATTCTCTTCAATTTATTGGATGCAAATCACTCAGCAGATTCTGCTTTCTGGCCTCCCCCAAATGATGGAAACGTACAGTGCAACCGCTGGACTGAAAGAGGAACATTGTAAACACAACGTAGTTAGCAAATGAATTAGTGACAGGGTGGAAAACTGCGATGGAGAGGTGGAGGGCGGGCCAGCAGGAGAAAAAGGGCTGTGACTTTTGCTATTGATCAAGAATTAATAACCTTCAAGAATGCAGCACAGAAGTTCAATAGGCTAGTGAACACTCAGATTACACTGCTGTCTGGGTGATAAGTTACCCCAGATGCCAGAAGGGAAGGAACTGCTGATTATAAATGCATCTGGAGAAACCTGAATTTTCAATTTGCAGCACAAATGTCACCAAATGGCATTAGTTCCTCCGGGGATTTATTTATAAAAGCAGCAGAGCTCTGGACTGCTTTCCTTCCCTCTCTCAATTCCAAAAATTGGGAAGGTATTCATGGTCCCCGACAAAGCAACCTGGATCAGATCTCTGGAAGTCCTGCCTTGGTAGATGATTAGGGGCTCTACAACATTAGAGCATCGACTGCTCTACTTTGTAGGAAATCATTCCACTGGGGCCCAATTTCTACAGATTTGCTGAGAGGCAGGGATGTCCTGGGAGGGGAGGGTGTCAAAAAAGTCAAGGTGGTGACCCTGACCATGTGATTGAAGCCCCACCCCTTTTAAATGTCTGTTGTAAAAAAAGGATAGCATGGTTGCAGACATGATCTTGACTTGTTTTACTCCCTCCCTGCAGACATTCTTGAAGAGAGGACCCTCTCTCCTTCAATCAGAGATGGTCATGTGGTGGAGAGTATGTCTCTTAGACCAATAGAAAGAGGTTCAGCTTGTTCAGATGGATCTTTTTGTAGAAATGGTGCCTGCAAATGAAACTGGAGCAAGGGTTCCAGGGGTAGGTACACTCCAAGTCTTAACTGTGATGCATTATCATGCCATCATATCAATGACACAGTGTATAATTTGCATCAATCCCATCATTTTGATCAATTATGTGCCATCAAGTCAGTGTTGACTCTTAATGACCACATAGATAGATTTTCTTCAGAACATTCCGTCTCCAACCAGGTCCTTCAGATCTTCCAATGTCTGTGGCATATTTCTCAACTGTTGGTTCCTTTACTGTTGATACTGAAAGGCTGAACCTATCTCCCACTTCTATATCTTCACTGTCTCCTCTGGAGCTCCAGAAGAAATGCTACGAATCTGTCTTTGCTGGGTTTCCTCAGGAGAAGGAGGTGAGCCAATTCCAAAGCCCCAAAGAAGCCTCACAACATTGTGGCAACACAAGAGCAATCTGATTTTTAGATGAGCACAGCCCTGCGTGTGGAAGGGGACCACGAAACCTATAACATTTCAGACATAGGCAAGCTTATTTTTTTTTAAAAAAAGAAATGTTTCTTTTGAGTTTCCTGCTGTGCTGCCCAACTGAAAAGACCATGGAGCTAGGTTACATTCTTAAACATGTTTACTAAGCTATCAAGTAAGTCCCAATTACCTTAAGGGACTGAAAAACCCAGTTTAGGAAAGCTACAGCTGTAATACAGCACAATGTTGGCACAGACATTGTGAGGAGGAAGCACGGCTGAGCTCAGTAGGGTTCCTTCCACACAAGTAACTTTAGAATGGCAGTGCAACAGGGATGTTCAAACAGCCAAGAGCTGTGCAAAGACCTCCATAATTCATCCCTTCTCTCCCCTCTCAGTCCAGCAATGAAGAATTAAACCTCAGAAGGTTTATTAAGTGGATCAGTAAACAGAAATGTTTAAATTCTCCCTGTTAATTGCTCAAACGTAATTGAATGCACGCGGAACACAAAGAAGAGAGTCAGCACGGAAGTTGTGGAGCCAAACAGCTCTGCTATCTTTGGCTGTGTGTGTGTGTGTGTGTGTGTGTGTGCGCCTTTGAGTCAGTGTTGACTCCTGGTGACTGCCTGGACAAGTCTGTGCAGTTTTCTTGGCAAGGTTTTTCCAAAGTGGTTTGCCCTTGCCTCCTTCCTAGGGCTGAGAGGAAGTGACTGGCCCAAGGTCACCCAGCTAGCTTTGTGTCCAAGGTGGGACTAGAACTCCCAGTCTCCCGGTTTCTAGCCTGGTCCCTTAACCCCTACACCAGACTGGCTCTCTTTGCATGCTACTCAAATAGTTAGGAACATCTGCCTGGTGTCAGCGTCTGTGTGTGTGTCCAAAAGGTCAAGTCCATGGCCATGACTGCACGACTGAACCTTCACCTCACCTTAACATGTATTGCGAGGGCTTCAAATGTGCAACTGGGACTGTGACCTTGACTTTTCTGACCCTCTCCCTGTAGATGCCCCTGTGCTGTTCCCCTGAATTAAGCTGCAGCAGCGATCTCCAGCTTTGGATAAAGCTGTTCCAGATCTTCTGCTCTTCCTCCTCCCTTGGTCTAACATCTTGCCGCACCCTTGTCCAATTTGCAGAACCAACCCTTCCCTAGCCTTGTGCCAAACCCAGCTGGTTGGCTCTGGTGAGCAGCTCATCTGAAGTGGCGGGGAGGGTGTGAGAAGAATCGTCCAGGGCTGGGGGGCAGGTGGTTGCTTTTGTTTGGGTGAATAAACCAGGCTTGTTCATGGAATATTAATTAATAATAAATGAGCACGCCTGAATTATTCAGGCTGTGAAGCTCATAAAAGCAAATTTGCCCTCTAGGTATAGCTCAAGGCCCCCTTTCCGCTTTTCATTTTTTAAAAAAGTGGGGGGAAGGATTTGCATAAGGTAGAGGCGTTTGCTGGATCCTTGGAATCCAAAGCATTGATGTTGATCTGTTGACATGCTAGAAATAAGCTGGATTTCCTCTACTGTACAGCAGGGAGAGAACAGTTGTGGGGTTTTTTTATTGTATTTCTTTTTATATTATATTACATTTGTCTTCTGCCTACATAATAATCCATATTTAAGCAGTTAATCTGGACGATTTAAATTCAATTTATGATAGCTCCCAAGGTGAGACATTGAGTGCAATGTGGTGGACGTTGTAGCAAGTAGCATGGAAGAAGAGTTGGGAGTGGAAAGGAATAGATGGTGAGTCAATCCAATGGGAGCTAGAGGGGTCCTCAGGCGCAATGAGTCATGGAGGTCCTCAGGTGCAGAAGGGGAGATGTGACATTGGATGTGCCATGACATCATCAAGCAAATGACTTGCTGTATTCAGATAATGCTAATGAAATACAGCACAGACTAGCACTTGGTAGAGTAGCAAGGAAGGTCTTGGAGAAGATGCCGTGATGTGTCTATACCTACAAACTGTGCAGGCAGTGGTTTTCCCTGTGACACTATATGGAAGTGAAATTTGGATTTTGAAGAAGCAGAATACAAAAACTATTGATGCTTTTGAACATTGATATTGGACAAGACTCCTGAGGATACCATGAATCCCCTAGAAAACAAAGAAATGGATCATAGAACACATCAACCCAGGGTTCTCACTTGAGGCACAAATGACCAGGCTCAAATTATCATATTTTGAACATATTGTTCAAAGACCTAGCTCTCTTGAGAAGTTGATAATGCTGGGAAAGGTGGAAGGAAAGAGAAGAAGAGGATGACCAGCAGCAAAGTATATGGACTTAGTTACAGTAGTGATGGGTGAATCTTTGGAAGTTCTGAAGGACCTCACTGAAGAAAATCTCTATGTGGTCACTAAGAGTTAACACTGACTTGATGGCACTTATTTAATCAAAATGATGTGATTGTTGCAAATTACACACTGTGTCACTTATATGAGGACATGGTAATGCACCATAGTTAAGACTTGGAGTGGGCCTGCCCTGGGAATTGTGCCCAGCCAATGAGGAAGTGGGACTGCTAAGCCAATCAGCATCTGAGAGATTACTGGAAACAACAGGATTTGCATTTCTTCTTGCTGGCTTGGTAAATATTCTCAAGTGAGGACATTCTTTTAACCTTGTTGTGCTTCATTTTTTATTTTTTCTGTTGTGCACATTTCTGAGTTGGCTTATTTGGAGTTGAGATGCCCCCTGGCCTTCACAAGAATGACAGCACTCCCCTGATCAGGAAGACACGTCTCTCTGTCTTATGCAAGGTTCTCTTCAGGAGAGATACTAACTTGAGCATGTAGCAAAAGGAGAGATCCTACCCTCCACCCTTTCCTTCTCCAGAAGGGAGAGCTTTTATTGTTTTGAAAATTGCAGATGAGAAAAGGGCAAAGTAAGTACCAGGGCTAAAGAACAGCATTCTTGAACCTTTGGAAAAAGATTGCAATCAATGTGCTAGGAAAAGTCCAAGGAAGTAACAAGGGCATTAGGTCATCCTAGGGGATAGGTAACGAGTTTAGCTAGAAATATAGTGTAAATTTATTTTGACTGTGTATTTTTAAATTCTTGTTGGCGTTTATTGACTTTGGGCAAGCTCTGTAATTCTGTTATGCAGTTGGGCCTTCTTTACAACTGAGTTGCCTTTAAATAGAAGCAGATAAGCATCTTCTTGTGCTTTGTCCAGAACTGTATATATATTTTTCAGCTGGAGGTTCTTTTAAATCACTGTTTGCAGTTTGGGCAAATGTATATTTTTATCTCTATTTTATCTCTAAGCCCAAACTGGATTTTTACCATTTCTTTTCCTTTTTTTAAAATGAAGTTTGATTTTATTGATCTCTTGTGATATTGGTCTGTCTCCCAAAAAGGGAAGGGCTGATTTCCCTAGCCTTAATGTTACATGGCTGGGAGATGGCACTACAACATTTATTTCATTTGTTCTCATTTTCCCCCTTTCAATTTCCCAGAAAAGTAAGGTATGGGGGCACAATCTTGAGGAGGGGGAAGATGCCAGGTGAGGCTCCCTAGGAAATGGTTGATGGCAGAGACAACTTACCAAGAGATTTGAGACCTCCAACTTTTCATCCTATAGGCTATCACTACTTATGTGAAATCTGCATTATGATATACTAGGGAATTTTGGTAGGAGTGAAGCCTTTGGAAATGATTGGCTGAGTTAATGTGATGTCATAGCGGAATGACAGTCAACACATCTTGGTCAGTTAGATGTGAGAGTCTCTGATTGTCATGGGTGAGCTGGTCAGATTGCAGGAAAAGAACCGTGTGAAATCTGGTCTTTGCAAATTACATGTCTTGATCAAAAACTCTTGGACTACATGTTTAGTTCCTTGTGCTGTGTAGCTCTCAGCAGTTTAACGAAGCAAAAACAAATATTTTGAGTGTACCTTTAATGTGTGCTGCTTTAGAACGTGCACAAATTTTTGGAGGGGAAGCTTAGAGGAAAGTGTAGATGGAAGGAAAGATGGCAGAACTACAGATCTGTTCTCCCTGAGATGTTGTTAAAGCTGCTGACAGAACTGGCCATTTCTACCATAAAAGAAACATATTCCTGTTCCATAGACATAGAATTATGTCTGCAGTAAAATGAAAGAAAGAAAGAAAGAAAGAAAGAAAGAAAGAAAGAAAGAAAGAAAGAAAGAAAGAAAGAACATTTGTCTTTGAATCAAGTTCCACTCCCAGTAACTTACATGGACACACCTACATTCCTGGCAGCATTAAAAAAATGACTTGCCATGGACTTTTTCCCAGGATGAATTTTTAATTTCCCAGTTGTGTGATTTCTTAGTGACTCCTCCTGTCCAAGTCTTAATCACCCCTGAACTCTGCTTAGCTTCTTGATCAGCCCAAGTTGGCTAAATACTGCCAGCTAGCTTGATATTATATCCATGAACATTATATACCATAAAACACAGTATTTGTGTTAAGTCTTCGGTGGCATGCTCTAAGGAGACCAACTCCAGTGGGTTCAGGGAAGGTCAGGGAAATTAACAGGACTCAGGAGGTCCTGTGGTCTCTGACAGGAGATGGTGAGAACTTGGTAGGTTAATGCTTAGCCTTGAGAAGAGGATAATAAGGGAGCTATTATGATCATCCTTTTAAGGACCTGATGGGTTATCACACAGAAGAAGACCTGTTTCCTGTCTTCCCTGAATACACAAGATAGGGAATCATGGTCTTCAGTTATAGGAAGGCAAATTCTGGCTGAATGTTAGGAGAAATGACATAATGGTAAGAGTGGATGGACAGTGGAACCCACTACTGAAGAAGGTAGTAGACTCCCTTTGAGTTGACTCCAAAGTTGCTGGTGCTATGGTCTCCAACTGGATTGCTGCAGCCATCCAGTCTGAGGCCAGGCCTCAGCTCAGAAAACTGAGCTCCTCTGCCCTGAATCAAAGAACTGAAGTGGGGTCCTTCCCAATCTGGTGGGAAGGGGCTTCAGAAGGCCCTTTTAGCATCTGGTCTAAAGCAGGACAGCCAACCTGCTCTGACTCTGTGGTTTTGATTCAGTGCTTCACTTTGGAGGGAGGCTTCGATCGATGCTTTGTCTAATGAAGACACTCTTTAAAAATGCAGAACTGCAGTTTCAGTCCGCATCTGGCAGGGATGCAATAACTTGGAGTCCTGCAAAGACGTTGGATGGGCCCTCTCTGACTGGGAAAGGGAAAGAAGAAAGGCTGAGATCTTCCTTGTCTGCATGGTCAGCTGTCCTCTTCTCCAACGCTACATCTGCAATGTTAATGGCAACAGTGTCGTCAAGCTTAACGCCTTGCCCAGCATCCAAGTTATGGAATCAGCTCAGTGCTGCCACCTGCTGAGGCAAATCTGAACTGAGGATTAAACAAACCTTGGGGCTCTAAACCGGTGTTTCTCAACCTAGGCAGCTTTGTGGACTTCAACTCCCAGAATTCCCCAGCCAGCATGGCTGGC